GCAACAATATTATTTGCTATATTCCTCCATTTTAGGTGCCTTAAGTTGAAATCCCCCAGGAGCAAGATGTTGGGTGCAGGAGCTGGAAGATTTTCCAGACAGTGGTCAATTAATAACAGCTGTTCCTGGAATTGCTGGGATGTTGCATCCGGAGGCTTGTAGACTACCACAATGACTAGGTTTTGGTTCTCGATCTTTACTGCTAAAACTTCCACTACATCATTTGAGGCATTAAGCAGTTCTGTGCAAACAAGTGACTCTGCAATGTACAGGCCAAACCCCCCCCCCTTTTGCCTGTTCACTCTGTCACATCTGTATAGGTTGTAACCTGGGATCCATATTTCGTTGTCCAAGTGATCCTTTATATGGGTCTCAGTGAAAGCCATGAACACTGCCTTTGCCTCTGCAAGCAGTCCACGGATGAAAGGTATTTTGTTGTTTGTTGCTGGCTTTAGACCCTGTATATTTGCAAAGAAGAATGTCATCGGACTGGTGGTATTGTTGGTACTGGGGGGGGATTCTTTTTCCGGCATTAGTATCTGTATCTGTTGGTTTGGAGTGGAGGCCATCGACTGTGGTTCCACTCCAGGAATGACTGGATTTGGTGTACGATTTCTGCCATTTCCTGCCAGTTTTTTTCCTTCCTGGCACTAAAAAACCTCTCCCTCTTGAGTGGCTGTGGCTACCCAGGTTTTCCCATGGCCTCGATGTTTTGTATCTTTTTGTCCCCTTTAGATGGTGTGCCTGGCAATTTAAGTTACAGCACAGTCTTTCCTGTACTGAAGAGGTACACATTTCAGGGTGAAAAAGCTTACAGGAAGGGAGTTTGCATTTTCTTGTTGTCATACGGGCACAGCATTTTCTAGGGTGGTCATAGTTGCACGTCCCGTCTGTTTTTCCAGATTTCCCATGTCTGCAGATACCAAGTGCATAGTATGTGCACAGGCTTGGTTTCCGTTTGCCTTGGGTTTCTATGACTGTATTCCCTGTTGGTGCATGTTTACCTGTCTTGTTCCTATCCTCACTAGCACCAACAATGGAGCTCTCACCAGTTGCTAGTGGAGTCCTCTTGTTTGCTATTTCCTGTGGTATTTCTAGTTTGCAATATTGGTTTTATCTTATCTTTGACTACACTTGTTTCCCCACTATGGCTCCTGTCCCCTTTGAGGTCATTTATATGCATTCCTTCCTGCGTATAATTCCTGACTACCTGGACAAAATCTCTAGCTTCACCATTACTGTCTCCCAGGACAGCACTATCAGCCCCACATTTACTGACTACCAGGACATCACTTCCAGCCTTACAGTTTCTGACTACATGGCCAGTATCAAGGGCAGTACCACTCAGCCCAGACTTTTTATGTTCCCATCTGTTGTAGAAATTTTATTATTATAATCATGGGGAGCGCTAAACCCGTAGGATTATACAGCGCATGTGGGGGGATGGAAGGTATTCAGGTTCAATTCAGGGAACCGGAGCACAGATCCAATTCCCTAGATCAAGAGCCCCTCACCAACGTCAAGGAACCTCCCTTGAGGGGTGTTGTAGAAAGCTTCCAGGTTGTCTGTGAAAGCAGCTTTGATGTTATCCTCTTTTAATACCCTTGTGATTTTTAGTCCACAGATTTATCTCATTTGGGCATACCCAAAAACACTTCCCTGTTTTAATACTGCTTGTAGCTAGTTCTTGGATATCTGCACAAGGGGCGTGACACCAATTTCCACAAAAATGACAATTTATCCATGTGGAAGCCCGTTTGTTTGATTGACTGCAGACTACACAGAGCTTCATAATGATCTGAATGGTTGATTTACTGTAATTCTACTAGCAACCTCTTGAATACTCTATTAATAACCTCCTCAAATGAAGCTCTAGCTATTTGTATTTCTTTTTCTAACTGTACTTGTATATTAGGACAGCTTACCGTAGTACGCTCCTGTTTTATATTTATTGTTTGTGTTTGATAAGGGCGCCTACAACCCCATCCGTTTACAGTCTGCTGTATTGTCCAACGAATCCGTTTGAAGCCGGTCAAGGGTTCGGACCAGTCGAGGGTTCGGAGCCAGTCTGATCTGATCAGTGGGTCACTTATTTAAAACATACTGGTCGGTGATTTGGGCTAACACATGAAGGATCTACTGGAAATTATCTACCCGAGTAATATGTGATTTGATTGATACAAAAGTATAACTTGCGTGTTGAAGAACCGGTGATTGCTGGCAGCTTCTACAGTGACGAACGGTCGAGCCTCAGCCCTTGTTTATTAATCACTGTATCTAGCTTTTCTAGTTTTTTTCTGTCTCCACCACAATAAATGCTATATTATCACTATAGTTGACTGGTGGAAATTTTGGTGGAAGGACGCTTTTTCTGTAGTAATAATTGCTTCTCGTTGTGTATATTGCGACCGCTGGTAACTACAGGTTATATGAAATTCACAGTATACGTCTGGTATTTCAAGAAAAAGAAACTAATGAAAGTCACTCCACTCCACTAAGTACCATTATAATACTGGTTAGTTGCTACTACAACACCGTATTCTGCTATTCACTGGTATCACTAGATTATATGCGAGTACACTAGCAAGCCAGGAAGATTATTAAAACAGCTGACCTCTGTGGTAAGTTTCTGGCGACTTCTGGCACCTGCCTCTGTAGGCTTATCACTTCATTTACAAATTCACCTGTTTTCAAATGACACTTTAGCCTTTATCATCTATATACTAGGGAGCCACTGTAGCATACACTATACCCTGTGTATACACAATGTTATCAAGGAGACTTTCTTTTCTCTGACGAAGAAAAGTTCTATTATTATTATTTTGCACACGGCACACTAGGCCTATGATTCCCCTCTGGCAGTAAACTCTGCTAGGTAGTGCACACTAATTCTCCTTTTTTGACTCAGTATATAATGTTTTCCACCAAAGATTGGTTCCAGGCGCTAGAGGGATGTATTATATAGGATTGATGGCACAAATTAAAGTTCTAGCACTTAAGAGCGACCATGAAAACACGAGAAAACCCAGAGCACAATGAGGCACGCTGACACGCTGACACAATATCTGTTTTAGATCTTGTCTTAGGTTTGAACCCTACCTGTAGAAAATAATGTATATTTTCCAAAAATACAGTGTATTTTATATGTAAATTGATGGCCTATATTGTAGGTAATAAAAATTAATTTGTAAATAAATAAAGAACCAGCGATGGGTGAGTGTCGCTGGGGAGAGACGCCATTGTTTTGAATGTGGTAAAGGCACGTGAGTGAAATGTGCATAAATTTTCGTCGCTCTAGGAGTTATATTGGGCTTAAAACCTCTCAAATAGGAGCCGAAATTGTTGGATTTGCAGTCCTGCATAATGTGAGCATTAAGCAGATGGACAGGACAGCTTCGGAACCCCAGCTAAGTCATGTCTATTTTGTGTTGAAATTCTGGCCAGTATTTTCTTCAAAATTTAGGCAAGGGGGGTTTTGAGTATGACACACCGTAATCTCCAGACTAATTGGTGAGGCTTATTATTATAAATTCTCCTTCAATGTATATATATTCACATTTTAAATTTAATATACAATCCACATATTTATATTAATGTTTTTACCAGAATTCCTGGTGATGTATATTTCAATTGAATTTCATATAGGTCCAGAGTGACTTGTGGAGAGTTAGATTATCGTAGGTATCGAAGGAGGACATTTTTTGCGACTTAGGTGTCCTAAAATTCCTACTTGTCTCTGTAACCTTGATAAAGAATAATTATCTTTGTTACCATTTACTGGTATGTATCGTATGAGTTACATCCAGGTAAATTTAATTTTCCACACTACCCATACATAATACAGTACATAATACTGTACTGTATTATGTACTGTAATATTTACACAAATTTGATGCTTTGTTTGGAAAATAATAATAATCATACCAAGTACACTTAAATTTAATAAAAATCACAATTACATTTTTTAACTTAGAATTATCATACAATTATAAAATAGACTCACTATACATTACTACAGGAAATATTCCTTTTGTTCATCTCACAGTATATATACACTGACAGGTGTATTTATCTCGGTGTATATATGCTGACAGTTTGCTTTTCATCCTTATTTTAGGAATTACATTATTCTTGCCTGGCAGTGGAAAGGTCCTAGTATATTACAGGCTGGTATAGTCTAAGACTTTTATAAGACCCTTGATATAGCTTAAAAACTTATTATATGAATATTTGAGAGTCTAAACAGTCATTACTCTTACTACTGAGCGATTGTGAATCACCCTCTCCCAAGTATAGATTATTATTACAAATAAAACTAAGTGCTAAACCCACAAGGGTCACACAGCACTGCAGGGCAAGATGTGCTGAGATGAAATGTGCGAAGATCAGAGACCCGAGTGTATGATGACACTCCTTCACATCCCACGGTGCCCCCATGGCAAAAGCTCTCGCTTCACACGGTGAGGGTCTGGGTTCGATTCCCGGCGAAGGGGTGGAAACATTCGGCGTGTTTCCTTACACCGTTTGTTCTTGTTCACCCATCAGTAATAATGGTGTGGGTTGCATCCTGGGACAAAACTGACTTTATTTGCCCGAAATGCTCAGCATAACAAGCGGCTTTCTAAATAGTAGTATGTCATTGATGTCAGCTATGGACTGTATACCTTACACATGTACTTGTAGAAATAAAGATATTATTATTATTATTATTATTATTATTATTATTATTATTATTATTATTATTATTATCACTCTTCATTTCCACTGGGAAGCAGTTAGAGATTTTTGATTGGTTACTTTGGGATGATGAGGAGTTACCCTATTGGACAGAGGTAAAGTTAAGGACCCCAATGCAAATAAATCACTTTGTCCGATTTTTTTGGATTATCATAGATAATTTACACGTATGTAATAATAATAATAATAATAATAATAATAATAATAATAAAAAATAATAATAATAATAATAATAATAATAGTAAATAATAAATCTTTTTTTTTCTAGAAGTACGTATACAGACCATAGCTGACATCAATGACATACTACTATATAGAAAGCCCTGGTTATGCAGAGTATTTTGGTCAAATTAGGCTAATTTTGTCTCAGGATGTATCCCACACCAGTCGACTAACACCTAGGTACCCATTATAGTGCTAGGTGAACAGGGACAGTAGGTGCCTTAAGGAAACACATCCTAGTTTCCACACTTACAGGTGACTGAACCATAGACTTCAGTGTGTGTGCTGAATGCGCTACCAACCCAGTGACAGGAAACCGATTGGTTACTTTTGGATGATGATGAGTTCCCTTATTGGATAGAGGCAATGTTAAGGAACCCAGTGGAAATAAGTCACTTTGGCTAACTTTTTTGAGTTATCCCGGTGGGTAATTTACACATATGTTACTATATATGTTAATTTGTGTAACTGTATTTATGTGTACTTGTACCTCAATAAACTTACTAATAATTTCATGAGCGCTGCTAAGACTCTAATTAGGCCTATAAAAAAGTAACACTAAAGCATTACCTGGCCAACAAAAGGCTGACCTTAGCCGATAGGCTTTAAACCTCATTAATCCAAAATGTTCCATTCAAGGGGGATGGGGGTTCCTTGGGGCTGGTAAGGGGTTCTTTATTCCTCGGATCGAACCTGAATACAATAAATATAATATCCCCTTTGTTAGGAGTAAGGCATCCATCACTTTTTATATTACCCTAATTAATCTTTCTGACACTCTGACATGGCTCTTCCCAACTCTCAATAGCGTTATTAATAACGATATTAATAGCGTTATTAATAACGATGTTAATAATTTAGTCTCTTGGTTACAGGTATTTTAGCATTATTATTCTGACGGTTTTACCGCTTTTTCCATAAATAATAATAATTAAAATAAAAATTTAATAATAATAATAATAATATAAATAATAATAATAATAATAATAATAATAATAATAATACACTGTAACCACAAGTTTATAATAATTCAGGACTGTAGTTACACATGACATTATTACACGAGGTTTGGGGTGTTAGCTCTCTAAGCTGCATTACCCATACGGGTTTAGAGCAAATGGTATTCGTAAACAAATGCGATTTATTTTCAAGCGATGAATTAATGAGTTTCAGTGATAACGGCATTGTTTACCGGACCAACTTTGTTTGGTCTGTATGGGTGCGAGTTTCCTTACCACGGTTTGGTCTCTGTATGGGTCTCAGCTAGCCTTAGACCACAGTTGTTTGGTCTCTTTATGGGTCTAAGCTAGACCACAGTTGTTTGGTTTCTGTATGGGTCTGAGTAGAGCTGACTATGCTGCACATATAACGCATTAGGGAAGTCCTGAGGCTCGGCCATTGACTCGCCTTGCTCACCACTCCTGTACACAAAGAATAAACAGATAATTAATTACAACAGAATTATCATTATTATTGTTAACTCAACGGCCGTTAAGCCAGGGTGACCACAGTAGAAAACACATTTCTCCATCATTCACTCAATGGCCGTCTTATCAGACGCTTCCTGACATCACAGACTACCCTCTGACTGCAATATCCTCACCCTCTCCTTAAGGGTAAAGGCACTGCCCTTCCCACCTCCAGGAGGACTCAAGTCCGACTGACTGATTCCTCAGAAATCCATTCACCAAAGTTAATCTGCTTGCAGTCCAACAGCACGTCCATGAAAAAAAAAAACACTTGTCTCCATCCATTCCTATCTAACATGCTCAGGAAAGCCTGCTGGATGCTCAAGCCCCTAAAACTCAAAGCCTTTTATACCCCGTCCCTCCAACCATTCCAGGGATGACCCCTATTCTTCCTACCTTACGTCCCAGATTTACACACCCACTATGTCGACCTCTTTATATCTAAACTATCTCCACAGCCCTTCCTCAGCCCTCTGAAATATTGGGAATTCTACATCACATATTAATTTCCATTCTCCGAATTCTCTGCATGATATTCACACCATACATTGACCTCAAACATGACATCGCTACCTCCAGCCTCCTCGTTATAATGTTCAAAAACCATGCCTCACACTCATGCAAAAATGTTGGTACCACTATAGTACATTCCGTGGCCTGGTTGGCAAAAACTCTAGCCTCACACACTGAGTGTCCGTGGTTCGATCCCGGCAAAGATGGAAACGTTGGGCGTGTTTCTTTACACATGCTGTCCCGTTCACCTAGTAAGCAAGTAGGTACCTGAGTGTTAGTCGACTGGTTTGGATCGCATCCTGGGGGACAAGATTTAAAGGCCCTAATGAAAATAAGACAGACAGTCTCGATGACGCACTGACTTTCTTGGATTATCATCGTTTTTTCTTCCTTGTGTGATTTACCTCATTTTTCACATACCCATTCTTCGGCGAGTGCACTCCCAAATATCTCTGAAGACATTCACTTACTCCATACTCCCTCCTTAATTTCACTCTTAGTCTTTTATTGTCTAGACTCTCTCTTGCTCTCATCACCTTGCTCTTTGCCATATTCGGAAAGAAGAAAAAACACATTCACCGTCATTTATTCAATGTATCATTCAATAGTAGCTAAAATAATAATAATAATAATAATAATAATAATAATAATAATAATAATAATAATAATAATAATAATAATAATAATAATAATAAATAAACAATAATGCAAATAATAATTATAATGATAAGGCTATTATTATTATTATTATCATGCAGATGTGGGTATAAAACGACACATTATACAAGAAAATTAATTGTTGAAACACATTTCACTAAGGTTCCTAACTTTATTTACAAGATAGAGCTGTTTTACCTACACCAGCTCTGTCTCCTTTCTCTCTCATCCCACTAACAACCAAGCTGAAGGTGACCTACTTGGTCTGGTATCGAGTCTTAGGAAGACCACAGGAGGGAGAGGCTGGTCTGACCAGGGACACCACCAGGGACACCAGCACCACCACGAACAACACACTCAGACATGTAAGACTCACTATCAACTCCGTCTCGTCCGCCTGCAGATAAGTAAGTTAGTAAGTAAGCTAGTAAATAAGTAAGCTAGTAAGTAAGTAAGCAAGCCAATACACTGGCTCCTGATGGCCACTATCAACACAGTTACGTCTGTCTGTAATAATAATAATAATAATAATAATAATAATAATAATAATAATAATAATAATAATAATAATAATAATAATACGTGATAACAATGATAATATTTATTTCTATAAATACATGATACAACTTACACAGAATAATCAGATAAGTAAATAAGTGAACATATAAAAAAAGTAGTAGATAAGTAATTAAGAAAGCAAGTAAACAGATATGTAAGCCAATAAGAAAGTAAGTAAATAAGAAAATAAGGGAAACAATTTCGCCTTCAGATCAAGAGGCTGCAACAACTGCCTCCAGTGATCAACATTCTTTGCAACATATTAATGCGTACAAGAATGGTATATAATGCGTAATTGCTTGCATACATTAAAGTCTCTTGGGCCTGACCTGACAAGCACAAGCTGGCTGCCGGACCTTGCTGGCCAGCTTGTGTCTGTAATGATTGCCTGATACACCTTTCAAGGAGTCTGTCTTGATGCTGGCGATGGGTTTAGAGCTACCTCTCTTTCTTCCTCGGATTAAGCCTGATTATCTCCCACTCCCCTGGAGCTGTATAACCCCTACAGGTTTAGTGATACCCCAGGAATATAATAATAATAATAATAATAATAATAATAATAATAATAATAATATCTATATTATTTTAAAGGGTATCCCTTGATGATGAAGGGATCCTCACTTGGGGTATTATAACTACCCTTCCCTTAGGCGATCAAATCTCATTCTTACGGATTTAGCGACTCCTCATAAATATAATACTGAGAACAATAATTCTGTCTCTCCCTCTCCTACTTACCTTAGCTATCGTCACCTGGTCGTCGATGTACTTTGTTACGTTCTTGACGTTATCGTTCACAGTGTGAATAAAGTCCAGGTCCTCGTTAGTGAGGTGTAGCACTTGACTGTGATCGTCGTTACCTTCCTTCACCAGAGCGTCTAGAGCCGTAGCCTCCTGATCCAGGTGGTAGGCGTGCTCGGTGTCCACTGCTCCACTCATTATCTCTCCTGTCACTTCATCGATGCTAGTCAGGTGGTGCTTCACTCGATCCCACCACGGCAAGACAGACTTGTCTGATGTTGATGACACTGAAGATTCTGTCATACTTGATGTGTTAGTCCCACCTGCCACGCTTGTTGCGATAGAGTCATCTGTCGTGCTTGATATGTCAGTCTCACTTGCTATGGTTGTTGCGACAGATTCATTTGTCGTGCTTGATATCACAGCATCATTTGTCATATCTGACGTCATAGTTCCACTTGTCGTAGTATCACTTTCGGCAACTGACCCTCTCAGTTTCCAACAGTGTCAATTCGTCCACAATTCCAGCTTCATTGTTCATGTTTTCAAACCACTTTGCATATTTTGCTAGTCGCCTGACTACATCATCACGGCCAGTTGATCTCCACCCATATCGTTCCTCTATGAGTGTCCTGTCGTCGAGGCCTTGTAGCGAGTTGGAATTCTTCTGGTGATGGAGCCTTACCACGCCTCCATCCTGGTCAACGCTCTCAGTGGTAGTATTAAAATCTATTGAAGTAGTTATTGGTGGTGCTGTAGACTTAGTCAATAGATCTGTTGTAGATGTTGAACTAGTTGTTGGTGGTGCTGTAGACGTAGTCAATAGATCTGTTGTAGATGTTGAACTAGTTGTTGGTGGTGCTGTAGACGTAGTCAATAGATCTGTTGTAGATGTTGAACTAGTTGTTGGTGGTGCTGTAGACGTAGTCAATAGATCTGTTGTAGATGTTGAACTAGTTGTTGGTGGTGCTGTAGACGTAGTCAATAGATCTGTTGTAGATGTTGAACTAGTTGTTGGTGGTGTTAGAGAAGTCGTACTTATTGAAGATGTATCACTAGTCTCCTCACTCGGTGTTGTTGCTTTAGTAAATTCTGTTGAAGAA